TACCCCCGGGCACCCAAAATACCCCGGGCACCAAAATATCCCCTCGGGCACCCAAAATACCCCCTCGGGCATCCCAAAATACCCCCGGGGCACCCCAAATACCCCCGGCAGCAACTGCACCTGGACCATCACGGTGCGGACCCCTCCCCAGGCACCCAAAAATACCCCCTCGAGGCACCCAAAATACCCCAGGGCACCCCAAAATACCCCGGAAAACCCCAAGAATACCCCTCGGGCACCCCAAACACCCCAGGGCACCCCAACACCCCCGGCAGCAACTGCACCTGGACCATCACGGTACGGACCCCCCGGGCACCCAAAATACCCCCGGGCACCCAAAATACCCCTCGGGCACCCAAAATACCCCTGGGGCACCCAAAATACCCCCGGGCATCCAAAAATACCCCTGGGGCACCCAAAATACCACTCCCGGGCATCCCAAACACCCCCGACGCTTAACTGCACCTGGACCATCACGGTACGGACCCCAGGCACCCAAAATACCCCTTTGGGTACCCAAAATACCCCCTGGGGCACCCAAAATACCCCCGGAAAACCCCAAAATACCCCGGGCACCTAAAATACCCCGGGGCACCCCAAAACCCCCGGCAGCAACTGCACCTGGACCATCACGGCACGGACCCCCCCTCGGGCACCCAAAATACCCCCTGGGGCACCCAAAATACCCCCCCGGGCACCCAAAATACCCCCCCGGGCACCCCAAATACCCCCGGGGCACCCCAAACACCCTCTGAGCATCCCAAACACCGCCTCGGGCACCTGAAACTCCCCCTGGGGCACCCCAAACACCCCCGGGGCACCCAAAATACCCCCGGGGCACCTCAAATACCCCGGGGCACCCCAAATACCCCTCATGTCCCCGAGGGCCCAGCTGGTGACACCCAGACCCCGTAATGTCCCCAAGGGCCAGGTGGTGACCCCCAGACCCCACAACACCCCCCCAGGTCCCCGAAGGCCAGGTGGTGACCCCCAGACCCTGTAATGTCCCCAAGGGCCAGGTGGTGACCCCCAGACCCCACAACATCCCCCCATGTCCCCAAGGGCCAGCTGGTGACCCCCAAACCCCACAACACCCCCCATGTCCCCAAGGTCCAACTGGTGACCCTCAGACCCCCTGGTGTCCCCCCAGGTCCCCAGGGCCCAGGTGGTCACACCCTCACCCCCCAGTGTCCCACCCAGACCCCATAACATCCCCCAGGTCCCCAAGGGCAAACTGGTGACCCCAAACCCCACAACATCCCCCAGGTCCTCGAGGGCCAGGTGGTCACACCCAGACCCCATAACGTCCCCCATGTCCCCCCATGTCCCCAAGGTCCAGCTGGTGACCCCAGACCCCACAACATCCCCCAGGTCCCCAAGGGCCAGCTGGTGACCCCCAGACCCCATAACGTCCCCATGTCCCCCATGTCCCCAAGGGCCAGCTGATCACACCCAGACCCACAATGTCCCTCAAGGGCCAGGTGGTGACCCCCAGACCCCATAACATCCCCCCCAGGTCCCCGAGGGCCAGCTGGTCACACCCAGACCCCGTAACATCCCCCAGGTCCCCAGGCCAGGTGGCCCTAGTGTCCCCAAGGGCCAGGTGGTGACCCCAAACCCCACAGCACCCCCAGGTCCCCAAGGTCCACCTGGTGACCCCCAGACCCCACAACACCCCCCTCAGGTCCCTGAGGGCTGGGTGGTGACCCCCAGACCCCATAACATCCCCCCAGGTCCCCGAGGGCCAGGTGGCCCTGTAGTGTCCCCAAGGCCCAGGTTGTGACCCCCAGACCCCTGGTGTCCCCCAGGTCCCCCGAGGGCCAGCTGAGTGACCCCAGACCCCCTGGTGTCCCCAGGTCCCCGAGGGGCCAGGTGGTGACCCCTAACCCCACATCCCCCAGGTCCCCGAGGGCCAGGTGGTGACCCCCAGACCCCATAACATCCCCAAGGTCTAACTGGGTGACACCCAAACCCCAGCAACACCCCCAGGTCCCCAAGGGCCAGCTGGTGACCCCCAGACCCCACGACATCCCCCATGTCCCCAAGGGCCAGGTGGTGACCCCAGACCCCACAGCATCCCCCATGTCCCCAAGGGCCAACTGGTGACCCCCAAACCCCACAACACCCCCAGGTCCCCGAGGGCCAGGTGGTGACCCCAGACCCATAACGTCCCCAAGGGCCCAGCTGGTGATCCCCAAACCCCCACAGCACCCCCAGGTCCCCAAGGGCCAGCTGGTGACCCCCAAACCCCATAACGTCCCCAAGGTCCAACTGGTGACCCCCAAACCCCACAACATCCCCCATGTCCCCAAGGTCCAACTGGTGACCCCAAACCCCACAACATCCCCCAGGTCCCCAAGGGCCAGGTGGTCACCCCCACACCCATAACATCCCCAAGAGCCCGGGTGGTGACCCCCACACCCCATAACACCCCCTCAGGTCCCCAAGGGCCAGGTGGCCCTGTAATGTCCCCAAGGTCCAGCTGGTGACCCCCAGACCCCACAACACCCCCATGTCCCCAAGGACCAGCTGGTGACCCCCAGACCCCCGGTGTCCCCCAGGTCCCCGAGGGCCAGGTGGTGACCCCCAGACCCCATAACGTCCCCAAGGGCCCAGCTGGTGACCCCCAGACCCCACAACATCCCCCCCCATGTCCCCAAGGGCCAGGTGGTGACCCCCAGACCCCCCGGTGTCCCCCCCAGGTCCCCGAGGGCCAGGTGACCCTGTAATGTCCCCAAGGGCCAACTGGTGACCCCCAAACCCCATAACATCCCCCCCAGGTCCCCGAGGGCCAGGTGACCCTGTAATGTCCCCAAGGGCCCGGGTGGTGACCCCCAGACCCCATAACATCCCCAAGGTCCAACTGGTGACCCCCAAACCCCCTAACACCCCCTCAGGTCCCCGAGGGCCAGGTGGCCACCCTCTCCTTCCGCGTCTTCGACCTGGAGCCGGACCCTCTGTGCCGCTTCGACTCGCTCTCGGTGTTCGGGGGGCACGGCCCGGGGGCGCCGCTCCTGGGGCGCTTCTGCGGCACCTTCCGCCCGGGGGCTCTGCGGGCCCCCCAAAACCGCCTCAGGCTGCGCATGGAGAGCGACGGCGGCACGGCCGGCAGGGGCTTCCTGGCCTGGTTCAGCGCCGGCAGCCCCCCCGCCAGCGGTGAGAGAGACCCCCCCCTCAAATACGGGGGAGATGGTTTATTGGGGGGCACCAAAAAATACCTGGGAGACCCCCTCTTCAAATACGGGGGTGATGGTTTTGTTGGGGGGCCCCCAAAAACCTTAGAGACCCCCTCCTTAAATACGGGGGAGATGGTTTATTGGGGGGCACCAAAAATCCTGGGAGACCCCCTCCTTAAATATGGGGGAGATGGTTTTGTAGGGTGCCCCCCAAAAACCTGAGAGAGACCCCCTCCTTAAATACGGGGGAGATGGTTTGTTGGGGTGCCCCCCAAAACCCTTAGAGAGACCCCCTCTTCAAATACGGGGGTGATGGTTTGTTGGGGCACCCAAAAATACCTGAGAGACCCCCTCTTCAAATATGGGGGTGATGGTTTTTTGGGGTGCCCCCAAAAATACCTGGGAGACCCCCTCCTCAAATACGGGGGTGATGGTTTGTTGGGGCGCCCCCCAAAAAATCCTGGGAGACCCCCTCCTCAAATATGGGGGTGATGGTTTGTTGGGGCGCCCCCCAAAAAAACCTTAGAGACCCCCTCCTCAAATATGGGGGAGATGGTTTGTTGGGGCGCCCCCAAAAACCTTAGAGAGACCCCCTCCTCAAATATGGGGAGATGGTTTGTTGGGGGGCCCCCAAAAACCTTAGAGAGACCCCCTCCTCAAATACGGGGGTGATGGTTTTGTTGGGGCGCCCCCAAAAACCTTAGAGAGACCCCCTCCTCAAATATGGGGGAGATGGTTTGTTGGGGGGCCCCCAAAAACCTTAGAGAGACCCCCTCCTCAAATATGGGGGAGATGGTTTTTGGGGGACCCCCAAAAACCTTAGAGAGACCCCCCCCTTAAATACGGGGGCGATGGTTTGTTGGGGGGCCCCCAAAAAACCTGGGAGACCCCCTCCTCAAATACGGGGGAGATGATTTTTTTGGGGCACCCCCCAAAAAACCTGGGAGACCCCCTCCTCAATTATGGGGGAGATGGTTTTTTGGGGGGCACCCAAAAAATCCTGGGAGACCCCCTCTTCAAATACGGGGGTGATGCTTTGTTGGGGCGCCCCAAAAATACCTGGGAGACCCCCCCCTTAAATACGGGGGTGATGGTTTTGTTGGGGCGCCCCCAAAAAACCTTAGAGACCCCCTCCTCAAATGCGGGGGAGATGGTTTGTTGGGGCGCCCCCAAAAATCCTGAGAGACCCCCCCCTTAAATACGGGGGAGATGATTTTTTGGGGCGCCCCCCAAAAATCCTGGGAGACCCCCACCCCCTTTAAATACGGGGGAGATGATTTTATTGGGGCACCCCCCAAAAAAACCTGGGAGACCCCCACCCTTTAAATACGGGGGTGATGATTTTATTGGGGCGCCCCCCAAAAAATTGGGGATTGGGTGGGTGGGGAGCGCCGCCGGCGGAGAGCAGGGACAATCCCAAAATGTGGGGGTGACCCCCAAAATCAACCCCCAAAAAAAAAACCCTAAAGGTTTATAGGAAACCCCCCCCTGGAGTCACACAGAGACCCCAAATCCTATAGGGAGACCCCCTCCAAAATCCCTCCCACCCCCACCACGGAGCTGCCAAAAATGCCCCCAAACCCACCCAAATCTTCATGGAGCCCGTGGAGACCCCCAAAATTCATGGAGCTCCTTCCCCCAAAAAAAAAACACCCTAAAGGTTTAGAGGAAACCTCACCCCGGAGTCACACGGAGACCCCAAATCCTATAGCGACCCCCCACTCAAAATCCCTCCCCCACCACGGAGGTGCCAAAAATACCCCCAAACCCACCCAAATCTTCATGGGAGCCCCGTGGAGACCCCCAAAATTCATGGAGCTCCCCCAAAAAAAACCTAAGGTTTATAGAAACCCCCTGGAGTTACACGGAGACCCCAAATCCTGTAGGGACCCCCACTCAAAATCCCTCCCCACCACGGAGGTGCAAAAATACCCCCAAACCCACCCAAATCTTCATGGGAGCCTCGTGGAGACCCCAAAATTTATGGAGACCCCCCAAAAAAAAACCTAAAGGTTTATAGGAAACCCCACCCTGGAGTTGCACGAAGACCCCAAATCCTATAGGGACACCCCCCTCAAAATCCCTCCCCCCGAACGGAGCTGCCAAAAATACCCCCAAACACACCCAAATCTTCATGGGAGCCCGTGGAGACCCCAAAATTCATGGAGCTCCCCCAAAAAAAAACCTAAAGGTTTATAGGAAACCCCACCCTGGAGTCACACGGAGACCCCAAATCCTATAGGGAGACCCCCCTCAAAATCCCTCCCACCCCTGAACGGAGCTGCCAAAAATACACGGAGACCCCCCAAAAAACACCCAAATCTTCATGGGAGCCTCGTGGTGACCCCCAAAATTCATGGAGCTCCTTCCCCAAAAAAAAAAACCCTAAAGGTTTACAGGAACCCCCCCCCAGAGTTACACGGAGACCCCCAAATCCTATAGGAGACCCCCACTCAATCCCTCCACCCCTGAACGGAGCTGCCAAAAATACACGGAGCCCCCCAAAAACACCCAAATCTTCATAGGAGCCTCAGTGGAGACCCCAAAATTCATGGAGCTCCCCAAAAAAAAAACCAAGTAGGAGAGAGCAGGGACAGCCCTAAAAGCCCCTCTGAGGGGGTCACTGAGGAGGCTGTGGGGAAAAATGGGGAGAAAAGGGGAGGAAAAGGGGGTGAAAAGTGTGAAAAGTGTGAGGAAAAATAAAAAGGGGGAAGAGGAGGGGGGGAAATTTGGAACTGAGAATGGAAAGGGAGGAGGAAAATGGGGGAAGTGTGAGGAGAAAGGAGGAAAAGAATGGAGGGGAAAGGGTGAGGGGGATAAAGGGGAAAAAAAAAAAGGCTGAGGGGAAAAAAAAAGGAGGGAAAAGCTGAGGGGATAAAGAGGGAAAATAAGGAGGAAAAACTGAGGGGACAAGGTAGGAAAAGTGTGAGGGGGGGGAGGAAAAATAGAGGGAAAACTGTGAGGGAAAAGGAGGGAAAAACTGAGGGAAAGTGGGGAAAAGTGTGAGGGGGAAAATGAGAGGAAAATGAGAGGGGAAAGGGGAAAATGAGGGGAAAAATGAGGGGAAAGGGGAGAATGAGGGGGAAAATGAGGGGGAAAATGGGGGGAAAGGGGAAAATGAGGGGGGAAAATGGGGGAAATCCTGAGAGGAAAAGAAGGGGAAAACTGAGGGGGAAAGGGGTGAAAGAGGGAAAAGAGTGAGGGAGAACAGGGTGGCAGGAAAATGTGAAGGAAATGTGACCCAAAATGGAGGGAAAAGGAAGGAGGGCAAAAACCGCCGGCGGAGAGCAGGGCCAACCCCAAATCCTCATGGACAACCCCAAATCCCCTCAAAAACCCCACAGAGACCCCCAAAATCCACACAGGGACCCCACCCCCTCCCCAACCCAGCCCAGCCCTTTTGCAGGGCCCCAGGGACGGCGGCTCAGGGCTCAAAAATAAACCCCATTTTTTCGGGGAGTCCTGGCACTATTTTGATGGTGAGTACGACCCCCCCCCCAAAAAAAACCCCCAAAACTTTACAAAAACCATTCCCGGGAGTCTTGCACCAAAAATCCATCCCCTCCCCAGTTTCCCCCTCAAGACCTCGTGTTTTTTTTTGGGGGGTCTCAGGGACAGAGGAGTTGCCGGCGGTGCAGAAAATTGGGGGGAGGGGGTCCCAGGGTGTTTTACCCCAAAATGTGACCCCCACCACCCCTTCCTCTTCTCCTAGAGCACCAATTTTGTGGGGGCGGCTGGAGAAGCCCCAGGGAGCCTGAACACCCCGAGGTGGCCCGAGGAGGATTATCCCCCGGCATCAGCTGCTCCTGGCACATCGTGGGACCCCCGACAAGGTTTGGGGGTCCTGGGGGGTTGGGGGGTTCATAAAAGTGGGGGTTTTATTTTTGGGGGGTCAGGGGTGGTTTGGGGGGTTAGGAGAGGTTTGGGGGGTCAGGGTGGTTTGGGAGGGGTCAGGAGGGGTTTGAGGAGACACCAGGAGGTTTGGGGGGTCCTGGGGGTTGGGGGATTCATAAAAGTGGGGGTTTATTTTTGGGGGTGTCAGGGGTGGTTTGGGAGAGGGGTCAGGAGGGGTCTGAGGGGGTCAGGAGGGGTTTTGGGGAGACACCAGGAGGTTTGGGGGTCCTGGGGGTTGGGGGTTCAGAAAGGTGGGGTTTTTATTTTTGGGGGGTCAGGAGGAGTTTGAGGGGGGTCAGGAGGGGTTTGAGGGGTCAGGAGGGGTTTGAGGGGTCAGGAGGGGTTTGGGGAGACACCAGGAGGTTTGGGGGTCCTGGGGTTTGGGGATTCATAAAAGTGGGGTTTTAATTTTTTGGGGGGTCAGGAGGGGTTTGAGGGGGTCAGGAGGGGGTTTGAGGGGGTCAGGAGGGGTTTGAGGGGGTCAGGAGGGGTTTGAGGGGTCAGGAGGGGTTTTGGGGAGACACCAGGAGGTTGGGGGTGGTTTGGGGTTGGGGATTCATAAAAGTGGGGGTTTTATTTTTTGGGGGGTCAGGGGTGGTTTGAGGGGTCAGGAGGGTTTGAGGGGTCAGGAGGGGTTTTGGGGAGACACCAGGAGGTTTGGGGGTCCTGGGGGTGGGATTCATAAAAGTGGGGGTTTTATTTTTTGGGGGGTCAGGGGTGGTTTGGGGAGACACCAGGAGGTTTGGGGTCCTGGGGGTTGGGGGATTCATAAAAGTGGGGTTTTTATTTTTTGGGGGGTCAGGGGTGGTTTGGGGGCTCAGGAGGGGTTTGAGGGGTCAGGATGGGTTTTGGGGAGACACCAGGAGATTTGGGGGTTCTGGGGGGTGGGATTCATAAAAGTGGGGTTTTTATTTTTGGGGAGTCAGGAGGGGTTTGAGGGGCTCAGGAGGGGTTTGGGGAGACACCAGGAGGTTTGGGGGTCCTGGGAGGTGGGATTCATAAAAGTGGGGTTTTATTTTTTGGGGGGTCAGAGGTGGTTGGAGGGGGGTCAGGAGGGGTTTGAGGGGTCAGGAGGGGGTTTGAGGGGTCAGGAGGGTTTTGGGGAGACACCAGGAGATTTGGGGGTCCTGGAGGGGGTGGGATTCATAAAAGTGGGGGTTTATTTTTGGGGGTCAGGAGAGGTTTTGGGGGTCAGGGGTGGTTTGAGGGGGTCAGGGGGTGGTTTGGGGGGTCAGGAGGGGTTTTGGGGGAGACACCAGGAGGTTTGGGGGTCCTGGGGTTGGGGATTCAGAAAGGTGGGGGTTTATTTTGGAGGTCAGGGGTGGTTTGGGAGGGGTCAGGAGGGGTTTGAGGGGGTCAGGAGGGGTTTGGGGGAGACACCAGGAGGTTTGGGGATCCTGGGGGTTGGGGGATTCATAAAGTGGGGGTTTTATTTTTGGGGGGTCAGGAGTGGTTTGGGAGGGGTCAGGGGTGGTTTGAGGGGGTCAGGAGGGGGTTTTGGGGGAGACACCAGGAGGTTTGGGGGTCCTGGGGTTGGGGGGTTCAGAAAAGTGGGGGTTTATTTTTGGGGGGTCAGGGGTGGTTTGGGAGGGGTCAGGGGTGGTTTGGGAGGGTTCAGGAGGGGTTTGAGGGGGTCAGGAGGGGTTTTGGGGAGACACCAGGAGGTTTGGGGGGTCCTGGGGGTGGGATTCCATAAAAGTGGGGTTTTATTTTTGGGGGGTCAGGAGAGGTTTTGAGGGGGTCAGGAGGGGTTTTGGGGGAGACACCCAGGAGGTTGGGGGTCCTGGGGTTGGGGGGATTCAGAAAGGTGGGGTTTTTATTTTTTGGGGGGGCTCAGGAGGGGTTTGAGGGGTCAGGAGGGGTTTGAGGGGGTCAGGAGGGGTTTGAGGGGGTCAGGAGGGGTTTAGGGGAGACCCAAGGAGGTTTGGGGGTCCTGGGGTTGGGGATTCATAAAAGTGGGGGTTTTATTTTTTGGGGGGTCAGGGGTGGTTTGGGGGGTCAGAAGGGGTTTGGGAGACCCAGGAGGTTTGGGGGTCCTGGGGGGCGTGGGATTCATAAAAGTGGGGGTTTATTTTTAGGGGGGTCAGGGGTGGTTTGGGGGAGGTCAGGAGGGGTTTTGGGGAGACACCAGGAGGTTTGGGGGTCCTGGGGGTTGGTGGGATTCATAAAAGTGGGGGTTTTATTTTGGGGGTCAGGAGGGGGTTTGGGGGTCAGGAGGGGTTTTGGGGAGAAACCAGGAGGGTGGGGGTTGGGGGATTCATAAAAGTGGGGTTTTATTTTTTGGAGGGGCCAGGAGGGGTTTGGGGGTGTCAGGAGGGGTTTGAGGGGTCAGGAGGGGTTTTGGGGAGACACCAGGAGGTTTGGGGGTCCTGGGGTTGGGGATTCAGAAAGGTGGGGTTTTTATTTTTTGAGGGGTCAGGAGGGATTTTGGGGAGACACCAGGAGGTTTGGGGGTCCTGGGGGTTGGGGATTCATAAAAGTGGGGTTTTTATTTTTGGGGGCTCAGGAGGGGTTTGAGGGGGTCAGGAGGGGTTTGGGGGGAGACACCAGGAGGTTTGGGGGTCCTGGGGGTGGGATTCAAGAAGGTGGTGGGGGTTTTTGGGGGGTCAGGGGTGGTTGGGGGTCAGGAGGGGGTTTGGGGAGACACCAGGAGGTTTGGGGGTCCTGGGGGTTGGGGGATTCATAAAAAGTGGGGTTTTTATTTTTGGGGGTCAGGAGGGGTTTCAGGGGTCAGGAGGGGGTTTGGGGAGACCCAAGGAGGTTTGGGGGTCGTGGGGGTTGGGGATTCATAAAAGTGGGGGTTTATTTTTTTGGGGGTCAGGAGGGGTTTGGGGAGACACCAGGAGGTTTGGGGGTCCTGGGGGGGTGGGATTCATAAAAGTGGGGTTTTATTTTTGGGGGGTCAGGGATGGTTTGAGGGGGTCAGGAGGGGTTTGAGGGGGTCAGGAGGGGTTTTGGGAGACACCAGGAGGTTGGGGGTGGTTTGGGGGCTCAGGAGGGGTTTTGGGAGACACCAGGAGGTTTGGGGGTCCTGGGGTTGGGGGATTCAGAAAGGTGGGGTCTTTATTTTTGGGGGGTCAGGGTGGTTTGGGGGGTTAGGAGGGGTTTGGGAGGTCAGGAGGGGTTTGAGGGAGACACCAGGAGGTTTGGGGGTCCTGGGGTTGGGGGTTCATAAAAGTGGGGTTTATTTTTTTAGAGGAGGTCAGGGGTGGTTTGAGGGGGTCAGGAGGGGTTTGAGGGGTCAGGAGGGGTTTTGGGGAGACACCAGAAGGGTGGGGGTGGGGGTGGGGGTTTGGGGGATTCATAAAGTGGGGTTTTTATTTTGAGGGGTCAGGGGTGGTTTGGGGGGCTCAAGGAGGGTTTGAGGGGGTCAGGAGGGGTTTTGGGAGACACCAGGAGGTTTGGGGGTCCTGGGGGTTGGGGGATTCAGAAAGGTGGGGTTTTTATTTTTGAGAGGTCAGGGAGGAGGTTTGAGGGGTCAGAAGGGGTTTGGGGAGACACCAGGAGGTTTGGGGGTCCTGGGGTTGGGGGGTTCATAAAAGTGGGGGTTTTATTTTTTGGGGGTCAGGGGTGGTTTGAGGGGGTCAGGAGGGGTTTTGGGGAGACACCAGGAGGTTTGGGGGTCCTGGGGGTTGGGGGGTTCATAAAAGTGGGGTTTTTATTTTTGGGGGTCAGGAGGGTTTGGGGGGTCAGGAAGAGGTTTGAGGGGGGTCAGGAGGGGTTTGGGGAGACACCAGGAGGTTTGGGGGTCCTGGGGTTGGGGATTCAGAAAGGTGGGGTTTTTATTTTTGGGGGGTCAGGAGGGGTTTTGGGGAGACTCAAGGAGGTTTGGGGGTCCTGGGGGTTGGGGGATTCATAAAAGTGGGGTTTTATTTTTGGGGGGGTCAGGGGTGGTTTGAGGGGGTCAGGAGGGGTTTGGGGAGACCCAAGGAGGTTTGGGGGTCCTGGGGGTTGGGGGATTCATAAAAGTGGGGTTTTATTTTTTGGGGGTCAGGAGGGTTTTGGGGAGACACCAGGAGGTTGGGGGTTGGGGTGGGGGGTTTGGGGGTCTGCAGGTGTCGGTCCTTTGGGGGAGGGAGGGGGAGTCCGAGGGGCTTGAGAGGAACAGAGGAGATTTTTTGGGGGGAGGGGGTGTCAGAAATCATTTGAGGGGCCGGGGAAGGGTTAAAGACAGACCAGGTTGAGGGGGGAGGAGAATTTTGGGACGTCTCAGGAGGGTTATTGGTGGGAGGGAGGATCCGAGGAGTGGGGGGAGCGCTGAGCCTGATTTTTGAGGGGTCTTTGCCCCCCTCCCCCAAAAAGGTGGTGGAGCTGCGGTTCGGGAAGTTCGACGTGGAGCCCGACCCCCACTGCCGCTACGACTACGTGGCCGTCTTCGAGGGGGGGGCTCGGGACGACGCGCGGCGCCTCGGGAGGTTCTGCGGGGAGGAGACCCCCGGGTGAGCCCCCTCCCCCTCCTCCCCCTCCCCAGGACCCGGTCAGGCCCCGAACCTCCCCAACCACCCCCAAATCTTCCCGGACCCCCAAGCCCCCCCACCCTGAAGCATCCCACCCATCCCCCAAACCAGCCTGACCCCCAATCCCACCCCGTGATCCCCCCTCTGTGACCACCCCCAACCCCTCCTTGGACCCCACTCAAGACCCTCCCAACCCCCCCCAACCCAAATTCCTCCTGATCCCTCCAAACCATCCTGACCCCCTCCCCTCAATTCCACCCTCCTGACCTCCCATCCCCTCCTTTACCCTCCCAACCTCCCCAAACCCACCCAGGACCCCCAAAACCCCCAAAACCCAAACCCTCCCCTTTTACCCTCCCAACCTCCCCAAACCCACCCAGGACCCCCAAAACCCCTTCCGACCCTCCCCACCCCTCCCACCCCCAAATTCCTCCTGATCCCTCCAAACCATCCTGGCCCCCTCCCCAAACCCTCCCTTTACCTCCCCACCCTCCCCAAACCCACCCGGACCCCCACCCCCAAACCCTCAAATTCCTCCTGATCCCTCCAAACCATCTTGACCCCTCTCCCTCTACCTCCCACCCTCCCCAAACCCAAACCCTCCCTTTACCCTCCCAACCTCCCCAAACCCACCCGGGAACACCCCCCCCCCCAAAACCCCTCCCCACCACCCCCAAACCTCCCAAATCCTCCCTCTACCCTCCCAAACCCCCCCAAACCCACCCGGACCCCAAATTCCTCCTGATCCCTCCAAACCATCCTGACCCCCTCCCAAACCCAAACCCAAACCCAAACCCTCCTTTTACCCTCCCAACCTCCCCAAACCCACCCGGGACCCCCAAACTCCCCTTCCGACCCTCCCCACCGCCCCACCCAAATTCCTCCTGATCCCTCCAAACCATCCTGACCCCCTCCCCCTCAACTACCCCTCCCCAAACCCAAACCCTCCCCTTTTACCCTCCCAACCTCCCCAAACCCACCCGGGACCCCCAAAACCCCCCCAAACCCCCCTTCCGACCCATCCCCCTCCCACCCCACCCAAATTCCTCCTGATCCCTCCAAACCATCCTGACCCCCCACCTCAACTTCCACCCTCCCCAAGCCCAACCCCTCCTTTTACCCTCCCAACCTCCCCAAACCCACCTGGGACCACTCCCCTGCCCCAAACCCCCTCCCCACCCCCAACCCCAAATTCCTCCTGATCCTCCAAACCATCCTGACCCCCCCACCCCCTCAACCCCATCCCTCCTGACCCCCTCCCAAACCCAAACCCAAACCCAAACCCAAACCCTCCCTTTACCCTCCCAACCTCCCCAAACCCACCCGGGACCCCCAAATTCCTCCTGATCCTCAAACCATCCTGCCCCTCCTCCTAACTTCCACCCCTCCTGACCCCCTCCCCAAACCCAAACCCAAACCCTCCTTTTACACATCCCAGCCTCCCCAGACCCACCGGGACCCCCCACCACCCCAAAGCCCCCTCCCCACCCCTCCCACCCCAAAT